CTGGTGCGTTGGTTGACGGTCTGCTTTTCGAGACCCGTCCTTAGTCTCATGCATCCAATGAAACAAGCGCAATGTGGACGGGAGAGTACTCTATTGCTTGAGGGCTGCCCAGCTTGGATGGGCGGTAGCTGTGCAGTGAAGTGCGAAGACTTCTTCCACTATCAAGAGGAAGCCGCAGGTACCCCACTCTTACGTCCATCTAGCGGGACTTTCTGGCCGGTAGACGGCACCTTCCCGATGTTTCTTTGCTTGAATGACCTCTACATGGGCGAGTGTGGATAGAAAACGGAAGCCAGGAAGTGCCCAAGCAGCTGGCTTCGCGACACTGAGCTTTGTCAGACCACTATCCACTAATCTTTCCAGCGTGATTGGATCTGCAGTGGTGAAGAGCCTTCCTGTAAAGCTCCCACGGTAATGGAGGCACGCAATCATCACATCAAGATCGAGGTGCGGTCACGTCGTGATGGATAAAACAACACGCCGAATCACATTCTGGCTCTAGCCAGCTACGCAGAAGAAAAACGAGCACCGGTATGGGAAATGGTACCACCCAGCTTCCACCGAGCATTGCCAACCCGGTTCTCACATTCGTTAACTTTCTACACAGATCAAATCCACGTGATTTCTGTATTTATACTGATTACGCTTTACTTGCTGCATGATCGATACTTTTGTGATTAGGTAACGACTGGCGTGGTGGGGAATAACCTAGATATCCGGCAGAGGAAGGAAACAGATACGACTGAATACAGCACGAAATGCAACCAGGTCAGGAAGATCGTTACCATAGAGAAAGGGTCAGAGAATGACTCACCATTTCATCTCGTTTTCCACCTACAACGGAACTGGACGGATTTTCAAGAACATCTGAACGGAAAATGGAGAAACGGCAGCACAAGATGAGAGATATTGTAGGGTCACATAACTTTACATAGCTTTAAGAATCCCAATGCATCAAATGAATCCCATTCATCTCCTAACATAAATCAGATAACTATCGGGTTCATAACATATGCTGAAACCCAGTTATTTTGCACGAAAGAAGGCAAGAGAGAACACTATTTATGCGCAAAGAGATTATGAAAACGATATGAACTTCATTCTGACACGGGTTAGACAAAACGAAGCAAGTCATTCAAACACGGGTGATATCCAACTAAACAATCGATCCAGCAATGATTTGACTGATGCACGTTCCACAATCGAACGCGAAACAAGCAATCAATTATCGCTGCTGGATGTGTCCCTTAACAGAATGGAAGAAGGTCGGATGGTACGAAATGTGTGCCGAAAACCGACATGAACCGACCAATACCCCCGACTTCAATAGTTTCGTTAGAATCCAACAGAAACGTAAGTTTGCAAAATGTTTGGCCACAAGGACGAGGGCAATAAGCTCGGTGTTGGATGATGAGCTGATGCGCATTAGGAACACATTACGTAAGAACGGATATGCGGATTGTTTCATTGAAAGGAATCTGATTGAACAAATACCGGAAACTCGCATGCACACTGAGGGACATTTGTTCATCAGTTTGCCATTCAAGGACGATGTCGTGAGTGAAATCGTAGTTCAACGTCTGAACAGAGCAATTAACAACCCTTTCAATTCTGCCAAATTACGGTGCGTGTTTCGAGGTGCTCCTCTGATCCACATACAAAATAATGATAAACTGTAGATGTAAACCTCATCAATGGTTGTTTACTTTTTTAGATATGCTCATGGCCCATCTTATGTTGGTCGAACGGCACGACAGCTATCTACTCGGACCAAAGAGCATCAAACGCGCTGGTTCGGATTTGGATAGACCGGATCAATAAACACCACCGTCCTAGCCCACTCGCTAGACACTAGACATCAAATCCGGACACCGCATTCAAAGCTGATTATCGTGTCCCCCATACCAAATGCAACGGTGTTCAAAAGCGCATTCTAGGAATAGCCGAAGCGATCAGCATAAGCATTTCGTTCAGTCACTCCACCTTCCATCGTCCGTGATCGATCCGGCCAAATTGTTTCCACCGAACAGTCACTCTGAGGCCGTAATTTAGTTGGATCAACCAAATGAAAAAATTAAGTTGACCATGACAAACTCTCACCCATGATTGTTGTTGTTGCTGTGTGATTTGTTTTCTAGTGTTACCTACGTAATTTATAAACAGATTGAGGATCAACTACTGAGAAACAATTGTTTCGCCAAATTGTGTTCTAATACAAATCAGTTGTTGTGTTATACAAACCGTTTAGTTAGTCATTCTCTGATCCGAGGTATTTCGAAACTCTGGATAATGACTGAGCGCGGAATGCAAGCATTGTGCGATTCTCTGTGAGTACCCGGGAACACCAGATACACTACAACGCCCAGCAAGGCCTGAAGACTAGAAGGATGGATACAGGCCCAGAAAGATCTCGGAGCCTTTCCCAGGTTGGAGAATCGCATGTAATCCAATCCCACGTCGATCGTGACCAACGAATCGAGTTTCGGGCGAATACATAATCAATCGCGCTGCAAATGACAACCTTGGTTAACAGTTTCCTTTTCTAATTTTGCTAAGCTCATTCGATTGAAGTTTTCTAACGGAGGATTAGCCAGCATATATGAGAATAGATGTGTTTTTGAATCGCAAGCACTGCGCGTGTGTTTGTGTGAGTACAGGAACAGCGGATCACAGCAACAGCTGTTTGTCCGACCTGGTGATGACACGTGAAAACGGTCGAGCCGAGGATTGTCAAAGTCAAAGTTTTATTATGGGAATAGCTTACAAGCTTGTGCTTCTCTTGTCCCATA